GGGGGCGGGGCCGAGAGATCCTCGCACAAGACGGGATGCAGCCTCACTGGGGGCTTGTTTTAAGTGCAGTAAGGATGAACATTGGGCCCAGCAATGCCTAACCCCCCGACCGCCCACCAAGCTGTGCCTGGTGTGCCACCATAAAGGGCACTGGAAGTCTGACTGTCCTCTTGCGGGCTTCCCCCGCTGCCTCAACAGCCGGGGTCAGCTGGAGCCTCACCACAGCCCTTCCCCGCTGGTGAGCTTCGGGAGCTTGCTGAAGAAGACTGAAGATGCCTGCACTCGGACACCCCGATAACCCTAGCCGAGCCCAGGGTCACCATCCAGGTAGCAGGTAAGTCCACCTCTTTTTAATTAAACACGGAGGGGGGGGGGCTACCTATTCCATCCTTCCTTCGTATGCCGGGTATAGTCTCCCTTCCACGGTCACTGTAAGGGGGACTGATGGCACCTCCTCTACACCCAACAAAACTCCCCACTTCCCCTGCGTCTTAACCCAGTACCCCTTTCCCCATTCATTCCTAACAATCCCCTCATGTCCTGTTCTGTTGCTCGGACGAGACATTTTACAACGCCTTAAGGGTCCATTTCCCTAATACCTCAGCATCCTCACGCTACCCATCTCCTTTTTGCCGCTGTAGCCACCCTGAGGCCAGCCGCTCCTCCCAGAACAATATTCAGCCTCCAAGAAACCTCCACCAATTCCATGAGCACCTCCCCGGTAAGGACTGGGTAACTGATTTTACGCACATGCCTAAACATAAACATCTTAAATATTTGTTAACTTTGGTGGATACCTTTTCAGGGTGGATTGAAGCATTCCCTACCAGCTGGAAGACAGCAGATGTTGTTGCTCGAACTCTCCTGGAATCTATAATCCTTAGGTTTGGCATTCCACATGCTATCCAGTCTGACAATGGTCTAGCCTTCATTTTGCAGGTGTCCCAACAGGTCTCAGCCCCGTGGAAGTGGATTGGAAACTACATATTCCTTATCACCCCATCATCAGGCAAGGTTGAGCGTGCCAACAGACTTATAAAGTCCCAGTTAACTAAGCTCTCCTTAGAGGTCTGCCTCTCTTGGCCAGATCTCCTTCCTGTTGCCCTAACCCGCCTACAGGCTTCCCCCAGGGAGCCCGCGGGTCTCAGCCCGTTTGAAATTCTATACGCCCGTCCATTTGTCCTAAGTTATTCTTTGCCTCAGAATGAAACTCCGCTTTCAGCTTGCTTACCCACTCTATCTTTGTTCTGCAATTTACTCAGGTCCTATGCAGACCAACACCTTCCGGACGTCTGGGCAACCA